AATGATGGTTTTCTTTTAGCTTTCCTGGATTGAAATCACATTTCCTTTAGGTCATTTCTTAAGGTTCAGTCACATACATTGGCTCCAGCTTCCTCCCATTCCTTCCTCAGGACTTGTTGTGCATTTTCTGTTTTGGAGACATTTTAAGTTTTCTGTCTTGAAGCTTTGATGTCTTCCTTGGTCTACCAGTATGTTTGCCTTTAACAACCTTCCCATGTTGTTTGGTCCAGATTTTAGACAGCTGACTGTGAACAACCAACAGCTTTTGCAACACTGTATGATGATTTACCCTCTTTTAAAGGCAGCCTGTTGTGGGGGTCTTAGCACAAGTTAGGATCCATCTGTGGGCTCTACAAAACATGTTCATTTGATTTAATTCACAAAAACAATCTCAAATAATGACATTTCACCTTTTCAGTTCTTCCTGTTCTTCAGCTCTCTCCAGAACGTGCTGAATGCAGAACTATGGAAACCCTCCTCCCATCTGTTTGTTTACATTAGCTCCGCCCCCCGACATGGTAGAAGTTTCCAAAGTGAAATTATTTTCACAAACTACAGCTTTCTTTGGKAATATTGTTAGAACATTGTCATCAAAGATAAAAATAAAATGAATCCAGGCATCTCTGTTCTCTGTGGCTGCTGTAAAAACAGAACAACTATYGTCTTTTGAGGAAGTGGGCGGAGCTTCACCTCGGGTTGGAGCAGGACTCTGGTTTAGGTTGCTAGGTGACTGTTATTGTGACGTCAGAATAACRTRCTTTGAGAAAYACCATGTGTCCAGATACCTAAAAATACATGTAACTACAGCCAAAAAACAGCTGGGTGCATTGTTTTGGTGTTTGGACTGCTTCTCTAAGCAGTAGTAACACCAAAAATAAGTTTAAAAACATGAAAAAAGGGAGTTTTGCGTAATAGGTGCCCTTTAAGAGTTTGATAATCCTCTCCTTTGTKTCAACTGACATCTCTGGTGTTGGAGCCATGATTCATGTCAGGTTACAAAATTAAACAACTGAATGAAGAACCTCTGAGCCGGTGATTCCTTCATTTTGTCCAGGGGTTGCAGAAGTTCTAACTGAAGTGACTTTATCTAGAAAGAAGTGAAGAAAATCTTCACAATGAGCTGAAAAAAGCTCAGAAAAAGGAAGCTGAGGAACACAAAGAGCTGAAATGATAGTATTGGTGCTGGAATGGGTTTCACAGAGAAGGTCAGCTAAATATTTAAGTTTAGTTTATTTCATAGTTCTTTGAAACTGGTGCCCCAGCACTCTTAAAYTGCTGAACTAAGCCTGAAGTTTGTCCTTTTTCCACTTTCGCTCAGCCCTACGTCACTAGCRCTTTATGTTACAAATCATCATACATCATTATAATTTTAAGAAAATCTTTATTATAATAGAAGCTGTTTTCCAATGAGCTAAGACCAGAAGCCTTTCTGCAGTGTGTGTGTTGATGTGTTTGCTGCTCCTGAGTGTGTGTCTCACCTGTAATTGCAGGGCTGAGTGTTGCAAAGTTGTACTTTGGGCAGAGGACGGGTCTCAGATTGACAATAGCTATCATTAACAACCTCCATGTTTTTTCTGACGATCCTCACACAGGAAACCACTGTTCTCCTCTCTCCTGCACACACAATGACAAATACATGTGATGAACTGGGCTCGTCCACTTCACACCCACAGAGATCAGTCTCAACCCCAAGATCTCTAATTGTTCCTYGTTGCTTCCGATGGATGAAAAACAGTTCTGATATGTGTTTGCATGAGGTTAGGTATGGTAGATATGTCTGTCTGTACATCCATCATCTTCATCTTATCCAGGGTCAGGTCTCAGGGTCAGGTCTCA